TTCTTCGACCAGTTTGTCGGTTTTCGCTTGTAAGTCTTCGATCTTGTGTAACATCAAGCATAAATCATCTGCAAAATCCAGGTATTCTAGGTCCTTCACGCCGGTCTAGGATATCCCTGTTTTCTCGTTTCCCACTGTCTGACGCATAATCCAGTTCACCACAATTAGGAATATCGTTGGAGATTATAAGCACCCTTGTCTGACTCGTGTGTTTACTCCAAACGCCTCGCTGAATTTTCCGTTGTGGAATACTTGACATGTGCCGTTGTCGTACAGCTGTTGAATAAGGTTGATGAATATTTGGGGTACGCCGTAGTACTTGAGTAGTTTCCAAATTACTTCGTGGTCAACGCTGTCGAAGGCACTGTAAATATTAGGATAGATCCACAAAAAACAGGTTTGTCACGGAAACGAAGTTATTTCGTTCCCATTTTATGCAACAAATAGAATTGATGTATAAAACTATAGGGAAAATCGGATAACTATTTCTGGAAAAGAAATGGAACAGACGAGTTTTTGTCGTATTACTCTATTATCCATCAAGTGCAAATCGATTTCAATCATTGTATAATGAATAAATAAATAAACAATATAATATAATATAAAATAACATAACATAATTGGTTTTGTGAAGAGGTTTGTTTGTGGGGAAATACATATTTACCTTCAGTTGGACAAATTTCCTTCCCCGCTGCGAAATGAATTAGTTTACCTTACTTGGGAATCACTTCACTTCAATGAAAATACTGTTTAAGTATGAAAATAGCCAGTGATTATTAAATGGTTCGTTGTTTTTTTACAAAAATGGAAATAATACTTGGGCAGTAAGAATGTCTGGAAAATATCTGAATACTTCAGATTTCATTCATATATATACATATATATGTCAATGAACGTGAACATTGAACGTTTGTTTATTGGAACTGGTAGCCATTGGTGGGCAATTCGAAGACGCGAATGGTTCGATCGTGTGCAAGTTCGAAGAAGACGAAAGAATACGAATAAAAGTACCTTATAATTTCGTATAAAACATTTGTTTAAAGACTTGTATTAGTCTTTACTTTAATTACCAGACAATATAACTTCCTTCAAACGAATACTGGTGCTTTGGAGTTAAAGTCGAGAAAGATACATAGTAATTATCGGTGCAGAGCGTCTTCGTTACAAAAGGAACTTAGGGCTAAGTTCTTTGACAATATATGTACATATATATACAGATATATATGCATGTTTGACTTTTCTACAGTTATTCATAGATGCTATCAAGAACGAAATCAAGGAAGCTAATTCCATCTGGATCAATGAATATGATAAGCTTTGCATAAAACTGCGTACTACTAATTGACTGAGATGAGTAGTATCTGAATACCATTCATATCAACCATTAGTGCTGGCTGGCCAGATCGAGGGGATCTAAACACTGGACGGCTGTTCCGCTCGTTTGGGATTGAGATCGCCTCGATATGGCTGGCAAGCTCTACTGATTGATATGGGTGGTATACAACTAACTACTCATTTCAATCAATCAGTAGTATGTATAGTTTTATGCAAATTTGTTTGCTTTCTTGATTACCACCATTTATGGTATCAAGCAGATCACATAGTGTGATCTAAACAATGATTTCCAAAGGAAACTGCAGTGGAATTTCACCACTCAGAGAGTGCAAAAATTTGCAAATTGCTAACCGATTTGTCTACTGTGAATTATGACCTATGATAGGCTTTATAGGAGAGAACTAACATGAGTTCACTTGTCGAGGTCATCACTACCAATTTAAATATACAGCCAAACATGTTAGCACCCCCAACGCACAATACCTGAGATATATAATATCAATTTATTTGAAGCATTTTGGAAAGATTGATTTACGCCATAGTGTCATTCAAAGCAAAGCCGAAATATATTTTCAAATTTTCGAGTATCACTTCGTGTCTACTATATATGATACAATGCTACAGAACTGAAGTGCATCAGCCCCTAGTTTATAAAATTTTATTGATTGCACTAAAAATCTTCACGTATTTGAGAATTCGCATCAGTGGATAACTTGTTGAAACAGTTAGCGTGTAGACAATAGACCTGTCAGCTTGTTTCAACTGTAAAAATAGAAGCATTTCCGATTACCAATTAAAAGATGTCTGGTGCGCTTTCTCTTGCTTCACAGATTTGAAACATGATTCCTTAAGTTAGATACAAAAGATATAGATATCAGCACACCTTAAATTGCACACCTTATTGCTGCCACGTTAAACTTTAAGCACCACTAACTACCAGTCAGTAAATGACCTTGAATGGCCCAATGAGTTTCATCCACGTGTGTTGAAGGTCCTATTCCTCTTCATCCGAGTCAAATGGTAGGGAAGGTAAGCTGATGATTCTAATATTTCGTAGAAACATTTTTTGCCAGGCCCCACTTGTAGTTAAACCAGATTTTGTATATTTATAGTTTCTTTTTTATTTATTTATTATTTTTGATTACAGCTTGATGCCACACCGTATTTTCAGAAAAAGTATGGAATTTTCAGCATGGATATCGGTAGCCCAAATTTTGCAGGCCGACCATAGATATCGGGTTGGCAGGGGATCGAACCCCGTACCATGTGCATAGTCGGCGAGGGTCCTAACCACTGTGCCACAAACAGTTCAGTGGTACCAACACTGCAGAGATATCGTGTCATGGAAAATGGAGAGAATTACTTCGTTACTAGCAGGAGAAGGTGTCATCGTACACGTGGATGAGTGGAAAGGTTATAACTACCTGTCATCCCTTGGATATATTCACCACAGAGTGAACCATTCTAATGATGTCGGGGATCCTACTACAGGGACATACATCACTTCTATAGAAGGCTTTGAGGAAGATTAAAAACAAGATTGGAGCCATTTATGAATGTCGAACGAATGTCATTTATAGTCATTTAGATGAATATATGTATAGAATTTGTTGTAACGTTCTAACTGATACCCCAATGCTCAACTGTTAGATGCTTTTACCACATGTCAGAGAAAAGTATCCTATGAAACATTTTTGTTCATTTTCTCCATAAATATATATTTTCGATAACCAAAAATGCCTCTTTCGTGTGATTGGTTCTTTGAAGGTCATTCGCTGATTGGTTGTTAGTGATGCTTAGAGTTTAACTTTGCCCTTATTGCAATAGCTGTACGATTAATATTCAGGTCAAATATTGAGTTTTCAGCCCTGAAAGCAAGACAGCTAACTGAAATTACTTCAAAAGATGTCACGCAATTCACGCGACTATATTTCATTATGTTATTTATAGTCAGTTGATTCTGACAAATAGTTTCAGGTTGTCAAGCCAAAAGGTGACGTCAGTCCATATTATTTCTATCTACGAGTCATTTGTATAGACTCCTTTGTTTGGGTGCTTGAGGTGTCTCATTTGTGTTAATGCCAGTTAAATCATTTTTCCCCTAAATTCTGCTATGACACGAACTACGACCTAGTAAACTATGAGCGAATACTAACTTAATGCGCTGACTAATCTGCCCTAATCGCACGTCAACATTATCGACAATAACATCGCTGACACGCGAAGACAAAAAGAAAACGCTAGACGTCGATAAGGGAGCTTTTACTGTCTGAAACAACAGTCAAATACTAGACAGAGACTCTGTATATATACAGCTAGAATAACCTTAAAAGTGCAGTAATTCAGTGATGCAATGAAAGTAATAACAGCCAAAAGGAATCCTCGATTTCTACCTCATGACCCATGTCGAGAAGATATCTAGTAATAGCGCTGCTATAAGAGTTTGTTCCCTTGATACGTAGGCTTTCTGGCACATGTTCAGAAAATCGGAGGTGTGCCCTTCTTTCTGTTCTCTCAATGTAACTGCTCCCGCAGATACACGTAAATTTGTATACACAGTTGGAGTTAACAAATTTACGTGTATCTGCGGGAGCAGTTACTTTGGGAGAACAGAAAGAAGGGCACATCTCCGATTTTCTGAACATGTGCCAGGAAGCCTACATCTCAAGGGAACAAACTCTTATAGCAACGCAAAAGGAATCCGGCAATCCAAATAGAGGGGAAAACAAAGGGCTCACGCCAGTGCGTGATAACTGCTTCAAATAGCTATTTTAAGTTTCTAGACAAAATTAGACAAATCTAGGTGTATATAACACATATACGCCTGCTCCTTCTCTACCTTATTTCTTTTGCGTATATGCTTCGCCAGGAAATACGGTGCCTGCCATGCGGGTGACTGTAAACTATAGTAGCCTAAAAGAAAACTACCTAATGAACGGATTGATGACCTTGACGAATTTTTGCACAGAAATCGGTTTAACCTGATTATGAGGACTCCTGTAAGAAATTAGGAGGTTTTCTTGTAACATATACAAGAATACGATACTATGTAACCTTTTTTAACCTTACATCACTTGTATATTGACGTTTATTTCAAATTACGCACTTCTACTTCCGACGCATCTGATTGGTCACTAGAGGTAGTTTCATTTTACGCTGCTATAGGTCTAGAGTCACCGCTATGCATTTAGTATTTCGAAGTGAAAATAATTAACCTCTTCTATTACTCGGTAATACATCATATCGTTAGTTTTATTTTAGTTTGAATATTACTGCATGAAGATGTTTGAGTAAAATTTATTAAGATTTTATCTTTTTCATTATTTACTTGACATTAACAGGGTCATTTGTTAGCTTGAGACAAAAGAAAACGGAAATGCAGGCACTCTCTTAGAATGTTGATGTGCTACCAAACAGTTCTGGAAAAATTTTAAAAAATAGGCTTGTTGATTAATTAGGCTACGTAGTTGTTATTACATGCATTTCTCTTGTTCTCTTAGACTAACTCTGATGCTTACCACTGTGATACGACATGGAATGAAAGGGTTTGTAAAAATTATGATAACCTTATATGAACCAAATTGTTCTCAGAGGGAGCTAATAATAACAAAAGAGGTAAATATCTCTTTCAATAAAGACTTGAAAATCACTTAGTGCTCAGGTAATTAATTTTCAGAATGTCTTAATTTCTGAAACTAATATTAATGGGAGCTGAGAGGTTAGTAATTAAACTGTTGAATTTGCAATTCTGGCAAATGTCCATTTATCAAGTACGAGTCAATAGGTTAAATTACACTAATTCATATTACTTTTGGTGCTTATATCGGAATAATTGTTTGGAAAGTCTATTCTGGACGATATACTTAGGATATTGATGCTTATTTAGATATTTCAGCTAGCATAATAATAACTTTCCTTTATTTCTTAGACGCTTTATCATTGTTCCGATGTTTGTATATCATCGACCCACTTAATCCTTATTATGTTTCTTCGTTCATGTTTAATCTCTAATTGTAAAACTTCTCTTTGGGTTTGTGTGATGATATTGATAATCTGTTATCTTTCGACTGCCATTTTGTCTGAGTGGGTTGACGTCGTTCTGACCTTGGAGTGTCTGTGAGAACTGTTTGGTGTGTGATTCTTTCTGAAAGGGTTCTGATAGCACCTTGTTGGGTGTATTCTTCTCGATTTTCAAGTGCTTTCCATGGCCGATTTTCTGTCAACTAATTTTTTTTCTACGGCACTTGTTTTGCACTGGAGGATCCTGTGACCTGTGAAGCTGCATAATGGCATTTTGAGGAGTAATTTTGAGTTTTTCATATTTTATTATTGTTAAATATTGCTGTAGATTTTATACTGAATAACTGACTTTTTACTGTTGTCACGTGGTTTATGTACTGAGTGTAACTAAAGGAAGTTTTGGTTGACTAGCTATGCAGTAGAGTGCAAAGTTTGGTTTCCAGCGTTCAGACCACAACACTTTGGTTTTGGTCGTTAAATTAACTCCTTTGGTTACTGAAACCCAACCCAATTGAAACATAAAATGACCATTCATGCAAATTATTCTCCCCAGGAATCGATTCAATAGTAACTTAGTGAAGATAAGGATATCTACAGAGGTTGCAGTGTTTAATGATATTATAAGGACTTAAAGAATAACTTTTTTTGAAAATAATTCCAGCCGGATAACTCAGATGCATAGCAAGAATCACAAGTCATCGTAATTGCATTTAAATTCACATGCTTAACACTTTTTAAAATTTCAAGTCTGATCATGGACTGATATCAGTTAGAGAACCATTGAAAGCCAGGGAGTACCGCACAGCTATTTCGTCCTATTTTGGGTTAGTTTGCATTCATTCAAAGCAAAGATGAAGCAACAAACACTTGTGGTCAGAATAAATGGATAACTTTTCAAAACTTAGTATTCTGTGTAACCAATAGTGTCGAAGTCACACTGACCTGCAGGGTGAAAATAAAAGGTATGGTTAACTTGAATATTTTTCCGAAATTTCTTCTAAAATCAAATGAGAATTATACTGAAACACCACTAGTTTGTTAGACATCCTTCACATTGATGTAGTGCTGAATTGAAAAATAACACACCTTTCTGAAACTCCTTTTAAAAATTTTTAGTGGGATTGTAGTACTGAAAGACATGCAGGCAGTGATTTTATTGAAATACAAACGCAATCTAATAAAGTGCTTGGTCCACAAAGCAAGGGAGATTTGCTCGGATGAATGTCTTGACGAGGAACGTAAAAATATTAAACGGTTGCTAAGTGAGAATGGTTATCCCAAAAAGTTTGTTGATAAGAATATGGATCTGAAACCAAAATAGCCCAAGTTACCAACAGCTCCAAAAAAGGCCTTGTTCTTACAGATGCAGTTCGTAGGAGACAACACCAGTGAGAAACTAGCACAGCGCCTTAGAAATGCAGTAAAAAGAGCATTCCCTGCTGCTCAATTACGCTGTATCTTTAAAACCACTCCTCTTCTGCGTTCGGGAATAAAAGACAAACTTCCTAATTTCGTCTCTTCCATGTGTATATACCAATTTAACTGCTCCTGTGGAGCCAGTTACATAGGCCGTACAATTAGGCGTGTTTCGCGTCGAATTTCCGAACATCACCCTGCCTGGTTAAGCAAAGGTCAGACAAAATCTATTCCCAGCGCTATTCTGGCGCATCTTGTGGAGACAGAACATAAGATTGACGTTAATCATGCTTTCAGGATCACTTACCGCATACCTACGAATCTCAATTTGACTTTAAGAGTTCGACTTCTAAATACTGCTGAGGCTGTTGGGATCCATATTGAGAAGCCTAATTTATGCACCCAAAAGAAATTAGTTCAGTCATTATCATTACCTTGGCAATCCAGGTTTGAATAATCCAGAATATTTGTGAAATTTCCCTGATTTTGGTTGATATTCTATTCGCTATTATATCTTTATCATTATTATTATTATTATTATAATTTAAGCATCTTTAATGAACTTTAATTCCCTCGGTATTACTTTACAAATCGATATTATTTAAAAAACGCTAACATTGTTATTAACTACTAATTTAAAATATTCTGTGTATATAAACATATATAATTGTAGAGCCTGGAAGAGGAATTTATCGAAAAGAATATTCTTTGCTCGATTATTTTGTGTTTTATAGATGTCTGAATGAATATTTTTGCTATTCTTTAAAATGCAGAAATAGTAGCAATGAAATATCATTCGCGCAACTGCAACTACTGATGAGTAGGCAGATGACAAACAAAATAATTTTATGTCCAGAACCTTGATTTCTAGGCATTCTGTGTATATTTCCTTTAGGATGCGGAAACTTCGTCTTTATTTGAACTATTCACTGTTTTGGCCAAACATATGCACTAAATATTGAATGGGATGTTTTGATTCTGTGACCCAGTTAAATCAGTGGTCGGACAAATTTTCCATTTCTTATTGCTTTAATCATTTAATTGTGTTTTTGCATCAGTTGTATTAATACACCATCATGCCATGTACTGCAGAATAGTATCTTAATTGAAGATCTAGTCAGAAGGGTTGATAGTTTGTAATTTAGACATTCTGAGAGTATTTGTACTGTATGCTAACATATTTCCATAAATAAAGCTGTTATTATCATCATATTAGAAGGACATTCAGTGTTCAACGAGTGGGATGGAATGCACTGGTTCGTGAACCCAAACTTCGTGATATAACACCACTGTCTCTCATAGTCGCCTCTATCGATGGTAAAATACATATTTAACAGTTTGAAAAAATTTGGGCATTGGGTATATGATATTCATTATAATAAAGGTGTTTTGTATTTCCCAATGAATGAAAAGCAATATTGTTTTGTTTTTCATTCATTGGGAAATACAAAAGCCTTTATTATAATGGGTAAAACACACAGTAAATTAATTTAAGGTCAAGTAAGTACAGATACCAAAAATAGTTGACACTGCGCACGTAGTTAGTCGGTAGAAATTAAATTCTAGCCATAGAAAGTGAACTTAAACCTAGATATTAGTGCTAAATATACATCACAGTACAGAAAATATCTAACAGACGAGAAGCAACTTTTAAACTACTTTTATTGTTCATACCACCTTTGTATTACTGATTCTGTCTGATTTCGCTTTCCCAAAGCGTTCGAAAAAATCTTCCCCTTATTTTGTGAACTCATCGGGTGCTTTTGTCTTGTCTTTCTCTAACTTTCTTTAATACTTAGAATACGTATAAGACAGTGTTCAACACCCTGAAATACTTACTTTTACATCTGATTCTCAAATAGTAAAGAGAAGGCAGCCTTACCTCGTCGAACTAACAAAGAAGGGTGCCTAAGACACCCTCGAGAACTACCGCAGAATCATTCCGCTGTCCATGCCAAGCAAAATATCAAGTCGCATCACTCTGGAGATACTAAACTATGTACTTGATGCAGAACTTCGCCCAGAAGAAGCTGGTCTCAGGAAAGTATATCATGTCCTGATTGAACTACAACTCCATGCATCACCATCAAATAGAGTATAGAATGACAGTCAAACCTCCGCTGCATCTCCACAGACTTCGGAAAGGCCTTCGATAGTGCTGACCAAGAAGTGATTTGGAAACTGATTCAACACTACGGAATGCAGAACTCCAAATCTTTATCAACCTCATTCAACAACCAAATGACTATGCAACATGTCAAGTGATCGACAACGCAAAAATCAGTGAATCATCTGCAGTAAAGATATGAGTAAGTCGAAAAAGGTCGCCTACTAGTGCCGAAAATATGCCTGACTGTGGTCGACTGGATAATGCGCCAGACTGTAGCGAGCGAAAAGACAGGAACACCTTGGACTTGCAAGAATAATGCAGAGGATTTGGACTTCGGGGACGATCTAAGTCTAATGCCATATAAATTCTGAAACTTGCAGGAGAAAACCAACCAGCTTTCAGAAGACGTAGGCAGTAGAGACAGGACTTCAAGTAAACATAGAGAAGATGGCGGTGATAAGGATAACCAACCAATAGAAACAAAAACCAGCACCAATCACTGCCGATGGGAGAAATTTGAAAGAGGTCACTTCGTTCAAGAAACTAGGCAGCATCGTTTCAACTACAGGCGACGGAATCAGAAAGACAAGGCAGAGATTCACCACTCTGAAATCAGTATAAAAATCTCCTGCACTCAGTCAGAGTAAAGAACATAATTTGGATTTTCGATATCAATGTTGAGTCAGTTTTAAATGGGTCAGAAACTTGTCATACGCATCATGAGAAGTAGGTTACTATAGACTTTATAACATGCTTCTAGGCTCGATAAGGAGGATCAGATACGCCCGCTGACCAGAAAGAATTGGCGGCATGAAACTCTAGCAACAAACCAGTCAAGAATCTGTTGCCTAAAAATTATGCAGAAGAAAATGGAGATGGATCAACCTCTAGATGACATTGCACGCGAAGCATAACCTCTAGTGTGAAACGGCGAGTCAATAGTGAATGTCAGGGTGACTTCAAGGAGATCGTGTGACGTGGAGATGCTAGCCTGTTGACAACCGTAGGGCCAGATAATGATGACTGTAGAGAACACGGTGAAATGGAGATGCCCTGCTAAAGATGCCTTAGATAATGGCTCACAAACCAATTAGTTCACTGTCTGTTTATTTCCATCTACTTCAGTAAAGAATTAGTCACATAGACCCCCAGAATTATTGCCCCTCCATTGCCTAAAAGTAAACCGAATATTGATTAGCTTCATATTGGGAGTAATGGTGAAGTACAGCACGCACAATTCTTCATCATTAACACAAAGGAAAATAGAAAAAAATCACAGAAAAGAAATTAGCACTATGAATACCCCTCACTTACATTATTTATTAGGGAATTCCCATTCATTGCACTTGCATTATTTGCTTTAAATGCAGAAGGATTTTGTCTATTTTCAGCCAGTGGGGATGATAAATGACCAGAATCTGAAGGATGAGTATTATAGACAGTGCGATTCGAATTTAAAGTGTTTAAACCACACTGTACTGAATAGTGGTCAGTGGCATTATTCATACTGTTTGAGTTATTATTATTACTACTACCTTTATCGGTATAAAATATACCTGCATCATCTTGACTGCTAGTATTGTTTGTATTAATGCTATGCTGATTGATTTCCCCTGAATTGAATCCCTGCCGTTTAGGTGAATATAAATTATTTTTAATTAAATGAGGTCTATTTATAGGCTTTTGAAGGGAGTTGAACTGTTCAGCGGAATCTGTCTGTGAGACACTGCAATCATGTTTATTTGAAGTTGCTTGAGTACCTTTTGTTTGATTGTTAGAATTCACAGTGTTGTTTGGATCACTAGTAATATTGTTAAGCTTTGATGGATTCTTTCTGACAACATTTGAAATTGTATCGATTTTGCCTTCTTGACATTTTAATTTATTCCGACTATTACTATTACTACCATTGGCGGCAGTAGTAGGAGTAGGAATATTCTGATGATAACAAAAACTAGAAGGTGTTGGATAGAGTTTCCTCAATTGGCTTCCACTTCCTAGAAGAGGAGATGATAATTCGCTTGAAGAATTCAATGATTGAGAATTATATCGAATCGGCACTGGACCGAAGAGTGGTGGTGGTAACGAGTGATTCATTTCAAAACCAAATTTTCTATTGTAACAACAACTATTATTATATAACAGTAGGGATGACGAAGGCACCATATGATCATTTGATCGAATTAATGGTAGCGGACTGAAATGTGATGCAACGGGTGAATAAGTTGCCGGTGAGATATAACTAATTTCATCGTTTAAACCTTCACTGGAGCATTGATTATGCGATAGGTCAAGTTCATTGTAGCGTAATTCAAAAAGATTTTTAGGCATATTTTTTAGCGATTCATTTTCATCATTCATTAGGTCAACTTTATGATGAATATTTTGATGGTAAGCTTGAGGATTTGTATATTTATTCGTGGATTGATATTTGTCGTTTGAAAAGTTCTTCAAATCTTTGTCGTAAACCGATGATGTTTGTGTTAAAAACTGTTTCCCATTGATTTTATCATTTCGATTCATCAGTGGACATGGACTGTCAACAACTGACATATTGGCTACATAGAAATTCTCTTGTAGCTTACAATTAGCTATTGGTGATGCTGCAGGTGAATTCATTATGGATTTATTCAATGGGGTTAAACTCTGATTGAAAGTTGTTTGGAAATCTGAAAAGGAAAATAAACACAATAAATCATAATAAAATGGTCAATTGAAAAATGTCTATAGTTGGATTTTTTTTCTTCACGTTTCCAGTGGAACATAGGGCTTCAAGCTAGTGGCTTCAAGTTTCTGTAGCAGTGTTCAATTTTTACAGGATGGGGTTGCCAGCCTCATGCCCAACCTTTCCTCCTTATCAGCATTATTTCTGGCTTTGCGAGGTAAAGGATTGTGTTGGCCGGGGATCTAACCCCGGACCTTGTGCATGGTCGGCGAGCGCCAAAACAGACACATAAAAATTATATGTAGAAAATAAGGTCTATATCATCATCATTTCACTGTCTGACTGTATCAGAAGCATTTGTAGCATTCACTATTTAGGAGAAGAAGAGCTTTTGTTTTTCAAAAAAATATTTGGTTCAAAATAGAATCCCGGAACTTTTTGTGGAGATGAACATGAGACCGAAAGCTAAAAAGAGATGAATGCGCTAAAGTATCATTGCAATATGCACCTGATCCTGAAGAGCTATATACATAGGTCGTTTCATGCACGTCATTTTTAAACGTCCTAAGGAACATTACCCAGTATGGCTGAAAAGAGGATACACCGGTTGAATCAGAAGTGCTATAATTGAGCACCTCATCAACGCCTGTCACAACATATCAACTGAATCATCATTCATAGTCATTTACAGAATAATAAAAACCTACCAAAAGCAGTGTGTTTCCGACTTCTTTGTGCTTCGGAAGCTCTCATCATATGCATCAAGAGGCCGGAGCTACGCATTTAAAATGAACCAGTTCAACCTCTACACTTCCCATGGATCTAGTTCAGTTTAACTCCTTCGTTTTCGTTATTTTTTGTGTTTTCATTCCCTTCACTGTTTTGTTTTTCATTTTCAGTCGTAAATACCTTTATTTCTATTTGTTTCCATATTCATTCCATTCACACTTGTCTGCATTAAAAACTATTTTATAACTGTTTTTCGCGCCTTTGTAATTGTTTTCCTAAGCCCCATGTAACCTATAGTCACACCAAAATTTCATATGAAGTTGATAATTATTACTGCCTTTATTCTCCTTTATTATTACATGGAGTTGGATAATAATTGTATCTATGTAAATTTATGTATATAAATGCAATTTTACAGCATTTTAGGATGAAATCGTTTTTGATGTTTTTGATGATCTCTATTATGGAGGGTATTTTTTTGGTAAAGTCACATAGTGTAATACAGTAATATCAACTGATGAACACGTTTCGACCAAAATTTATTGACACTCATAATCATATCAAGGCAATACTCACACAACTTTCTTGTTTCATTTGACATTTGAATAAAATCAACATAAGATAAAGTACATTTATAAATAATAATATGAGTGTTATCAATCAAATACAATCAGAAAAGAAATAAGACGAGTGTTTTTATAGTCGAAATAAGTAACTTCTTAGAATGTTATGATGTATGTGAATTGAAATAGAACTTTAAGATTACTTATTATCCTCCTCTGATTTGACTGGTGGTAATAATATCTTCCACATCTCTGGTATTTTCATTTTATCATTTCTGTTGCATGTGTTGGGTGTAGACTTAATGAATCAGGCAGGATTCAGTAATTGATCTCTCTCTCCACCTAAATAGATTACTTCTTAGAATTTTAACCCTCTCCTACCCTATTATGTGTTTGTGTGCTAATGCATGCAGTACGATTGCTGAGTTTGTTTTCTGAAATACTTATCTTTGTCGAATCAGTCATTCTAACCTTAGCTAAATTCTTTTGTTCTGATAATCTGACTACCGCCGCATGATCTACTGGTTTGACCTATGTATTTGACTTAACTCACAGTCATTGCAAGTTATTTTGTAAGTTATATTATTTTTTCTAATTAGGTCAATAGGATCCTTTAACTTACGGAGCTTGTCTCTGAGTGAGTCTGTAGGTTGAAATGCCACCACCCTAATTCCTGCCTTATTGAGAATCCTACGTAGGGTTTCAGGTGTCTTATCTATATATGGTAAAACTGTAGATGCCTTATTTATTCTTATTTATGTTACTATTATTAGTTACACCAATATTTTTATTTTGCTTTTGACCTTTTTGATACTCCTAATGAATTTTATAGGATAGTTATTCGCTTAGCTACTTGTTCATTTCTCTCTAATGTCTTGATGAGTGTTTTCCACGATTAGAAACACAGAAGACACAATGAATGACATGGAGACGTAATTTTAATGATATTTCTATTGTTTGATTCGTGACCTATGCTTTATTTTAGCGACAATTTGAGGCACTGTTTAACTATCATGGAGGAACTAAATTAATAGGTCTGGGAATGTCAAATATTCCTATTCATGAATTCATAGTCGGTTTGGGAGAAGAATATTTTTTTTCAATAAGTTCTCTTCAGGTTTTTACAGTTATATAAAGGTGGTGCTTTCGATTCTATTCCAAGGGCACTTTTACTAGGCAAGTTGACTTCAACACACACTACATCCTGGGACATATGATGGTTGTCATCCTATTCTTCATTGATACTGTTTTTAATGTGAATCGTCCCACTTCCTCGTTTGCTGATGCTGGTGTGACTCAGAGTGCTGTACTTCCTCCATTTCTGTCCTCTTTTTTATATGACTTACTGTACTCTTTTAAAGACAATTTCATCAAATATGCTGATGATCTGACGATTCCTGTCACAGTTGTTTCTGCATTGCAGCATTCTGGAATATGAACATTTTCCTGTCTGAAGTTGACCAATGATTTTATTCAGATAGTCTTAGATTGGACCTCTCTAAATATTAGACTGTTAGTTTTATTTTCAGATGTGAACAAGATTTGCATGGACTGTGATAGAGAAGAAATCGAATATTAACCATCTTGGTTTCAGTTTCTCTGCCAGTCTTTGTAAGTCGTCTGATATTTTGTTGATTTCCAAGAAAATCCTTCGTTCACCTTATTACATAGGGACGTTGGGACTTTCTGGTATAAGTCAACCCCTTCTCTTGCAATTTACTAATATCCCTGGGTTTCCCAAAAGGAACCACGTCATATTACATAGAACACTGAAGACTGTAAGCAGGCTTAACGATGTACACTGGACTCAATTAACTGACATTGTTATTTACAGGTATTTTAATTCTTGCAAGCAGCTAGCTAAAATCATCTTGTAGGATAGTGAACATTTTTTTAATTTGCAACTTTCTCCTTGTATATCTTCGGGTAAAATCAGGATATAAAAATTCAACAATGCCACAATTAGAACGGTATATGTTAAGAGGCTAATGTAATGAAAGAATTTATAAACCCACTTTATGGTCAACTTATAACTAACCTTATTATTTTTGATTGAACACTAATCAGTAACTAGTGTGATATGTCTAATCTTATCTGCCAACTGTCTCCAGCCATCTAATATCAACAATCCACAGTGCACCGTGATGGCAAGCCACCCAGCTTGGTGACTACATTGTACACTTGACTGATGGAATTCAGTCTGCGCCAAAGACTGGACCAGACACATTACACTAGGTACTGACTACTGTCCAATCAAAAATACCCTATGGGAGTTCAACTGCGGGCTGGAACGGATCAGTGGTAACGGTCCTGACTGCAGCACCTGGTGACGCTGGTTCGGATCTCAGAAGGAACATGGGTACCTTCGAGGTTGCAAATGCCCCTTGCTGGTTGGTGGGGGACAGCTAGCATGAGAACTTGGTGCAAGACTTCTAGCCGACTGCCTCCAACTGTCTAGCCTTATTATTACACATATTATCGTTCATTTAACTTCATTTAGTTCACTTTTAGTATTTTTACTAATTTATTTATTTAGTTGTTTATATATGCAGGTAAATTATTGCACTATATGCAATGCTGTAAATTCCTTTCTACAGAATTATTATTTTTAGTAATGGAGTGATAACTGTTATCATTGTCATTATTGTTTTTGTATTTCGCAGTAAAATCAAACAATATTCACTTTTACGAAGGCTAACAGATAAGTTATAGGGTAACAAAATAACTGTTTTTACAACTAGAAGTTAACTGGTGGATGGTGACTAGCAGTGGAATCCAGGATGCGCGTTTCTTCCTATTAGGGATTTGTCAACTGGATGTGCCTGCATTTCTCATTGAGTGATGATGTTCCCACCGAGGCTCGAACCCAGTGCCCATAGTTTCAAACGCCGAAGCGTTATCCATTAAACCACCTGGGCCACGAGAGGCACCTCTTGTGCAACCGGTCATATTAATTATTTAATTCAATTTTAGATTTTCTCGTCGGCTGATTGGACCGAAGTGCTCGGTCTCAAGTTGACATGTCGAAGCATCTGCACAAGAAGCCGACATGTCAACCTGAGACCGAACACTTCGGTTCAATCAGCCGACGGGAAAATCTAAAATTGAATTTAATGTTATTACAACTTTAAAACAATTAGTTCCCTTTATGAATTTAGATAAAGCAATAAGAAGAAGTAATTACTCTGAATCGTGTAATGTGTTCGCACAACACATTTCGAACAATCTGATCACACACGAACTTGTTATAGGAATATATATGAAATTAATAAAGAGTTAAGAGGTGAGAAAATAGACTTAGGTCAAGTTAAAAGGACATATTCAAGGTCAAAATAACAATGAACACCACTAAACCAAATAGCAGAGGTAATAGTACATCTGCTATTGTGTCAAAACAAAATTTACCAAAGAAGGTTTAATGTGATGACGAATTGTTTTTGAACGCATAAAGGTGGCTTAAACTTTCTAATTGCTAGGGCTTCCACAAACTTTAGGATACGCGTATCCCAATTTCATATATATTCCTATGACAAGTCAATGTGTGATCAGATTGTTCGAATTGTGTTGCGCAAATTCGTTATTGCAACTGTTAGATTTTCGTCACAAACCAACATCAGTTAGAGAAATCACTGAAAACCGAGGAGCGCTGGCTGGTTGTTTCACCCATTTCTAGGACTACTCATCAGTGCGTATCAACTACCGCATCACTGAC